ATCTTCATCCTGGTAAATGGACCTACAATATCATGACATGCATTCTGATCATCATTTCTAATTACTATTCCATCAAAAAGCTATAAACATAGCTATGAATGTTTATCATATTTTGTTACTCAGTTTTGCAAATGCGTTAAAATTCTTTTTATTAATTCCATTTATAACATATTCTAGTCATGATCGATGAGCTTAAGTGCTTAACTAGCTCAAGGTTCAGACCATGCACTGACGGACATAGTGATTGTGCTGCTGGATTTTTTTGTTAATGTTTACCTCACAATCGCTCAACTCACAAGTCACAAAACTTAAATGAGTAGGCATGAGTTATGCATCCCGAAAAGGTTAATTCCAATTAATTAGTTAGCCTAAGGCCGACATATGCTTCTAAGAAGAGAAACACACCTAAAGGCTTGATCATTTGAGCCATGGTGAGTGCGAATGATGTGTTCAAGTCGGTACTTTGACCGGTGGTAGTCGCGTCTGCGATTGGAGAGCAGAATGGTAGAGCAGCCCATTCGAAAGAAGCAATTGGGAATGAGCATGGACGGGTTGTTTCCCGAGTACCACATGGAGCTTACTATTTCAGTGCTAACAACCAAGGCATACCTATTGGGATTGGCTCGTAGGATGTCTTGCGCCAAGTCCAGCGCTATGATACCAGCACTGCAACCCATCCCACCAAGGTTTGAACTTAGAATGTCCACTCTCATCTTATATCTATTTATGATCATGGCCGAGAGTGAAGGAGTCGGGTTAAATGTGCTACAGTTCACAACCAATACTCCAATGTCTTTCGGTTTGATCCCTGTCTTCTCGAACAACACATCTATTGCGTCAAATACCACCATTGATGCCTCGGCTCGGGTGACATTCAAACTCATCCTATCCTTTTCTGGGAATCCGATGGACTTAGGGACATATGTTTCGTCCCCGATCCCAGAGCTCTCAAGTAATCTCTTCATGTATTCTAGGCTTTCTTCCTTAAATGTTCCTGATTTTCGAGCAATATCTATGAATTGATCCTTTGTCACCTACCATACATAAGATCAATGCATTAGCAACTACTCCGTAGCATTTATCATGTAGGTACGGTACTAGATACTCTCTAGAACTGTAGCCGTCTTGAAACGAGATGGTACCATACTACCATATCATACCATGTCGAAACTATTCCAAATATGTGAACATTTAAAAAAAATTGAGATGATATTTTAGAAAATAACTTAAATTATAATCAAAACAAAAATACAAAAAACAAAATTTAAGTCCGACTCTAGTATTGAATTTAAAATGAAAACAGCTGAGTTCTTAAAACTATACTTTCAAAAATACACAAATAAATAAACTAAATTCAATATTATGTATGTTCTTTGACTTCTAATTTTTATGTAGTAACTAAGTATAGGTCCAATAATTCTAGCTATATTTGTATGTGTAGTAGCTCGTTAGACGAGATTACTAATAATTAAAAAATATAAACAGAAATTAAAAAATATAGATTAATATAATAAAAATTTATAGTGTTAATAATAAAGTAAAATTATGAAAATACATGTGATCAAATGGTACTATTTGGGATAACTAGTATACTAAAAGTGTACACCACTCCCCTTCCGGGTTGAGATCGGCTCGATGTGTGAAAAGAATACCATGTTAAATTTCTCATTTTGCTTGTCAACTTTACAATGGTCTTTGGGTCAACTAATTAAGCAACATTTAATTTCTTAGTTGATATATCAAATTAAACTTTTTTATATATTTAATTCCATTCTTTCGTTTCTATCTACAAGTAATTTATAGTATAATAAATTCTAAATATGCAAACTTGGTGTCCCTCTCTAAGATTCATAACTAATGTGGTCATAATTAAGTACCTTAAGATCGTCATTTGGTTTGCAGCATGCAAAGTCAACAAGGTAAATAGGTGTTGACTTGGACATGTAGAAAACATAGAGAGTCAAAGAGAGAAGACCGAGAAGAGGAATCACAACAACAAAATCAGAGCGTCCGAGATTTCCCGACATCTCCATGCCGAAAGCCACCGCGAGAAGCGGCAGAGCGGCGGCGGCCAACAACATCCCATTGCTTATCATGTAGTAATATCCCAATTTCACATATTTCAAATTCACGGATTGCACGAAATCGGGTAGCCGGCGACGAACCCGGACCGAGAACTTCAGGGCTCCGGCGTCGGGCCCCGACAAGTCAACCCCGCGGTTGACTATCTCGGTTGACAATAACGTCTCGTCTATGGCCATGTTTTGAACGTTTACTTTGAAAGCTTTAGTGTTGGATACTCGAGATATATGTAACGAAGAAATATGGAGATCTAGCTGTATTTGTTCGGTAAATATATAAAAGCCAAACTCTTGATTTATGTGTGTATTAAAAAAAAGGGCAAGTGCGGTTATGAGGCACTTTATGTGTGTATAGTAAGATAAGATAATCACATGATCGCAGTAATTGTAATTGTTAGTTAAGATCATGTTCATACGAATTTTGCTTCAAACTGTAATACGGAGTATATAATACGTAGTAGTAATACTAATAATACTAGTAATACTTTAGAAATTTATTTTATACAAGTGTTACTAGCTAGATTGAGTGTCACTAAATTGCATTTATATGTTAGTCGGGTATTATTAGAGATGACGGGGTAGATCGAACTGTGGAAGCATGATTTTAACACGTGGTTGCGATCACAATTGCGATTGTGATTAGTGTGATGCATATTGTGGTCGATGAAGTGTGAGTTAATTAATGTTTGCACAAAAAAACGACTGGTTTTTTATTCTTTCTACAACTTTTTTGTTAAATATTTATTAGCAAAATACTATTTCTTTGAGTGAACAATTGTGGAATTCAATGAGAGGGTATGGTCTATTAAACACTCTTATACTTTGTAGATATGTCTCACTTGTTATCTCACAATTTTTATGTGTAGGATCCACATATTTGCTAATTTATTTTTATTTTCATTTTCATATCATTTTGAACTCACTTGTTATACTCCCCCGTCCCTTAAAACTTTACAAACATTTCTTTTTTTTTTTTTGAATATCTCACTAACTTCAACACTTTCCCTTTTAAGTAAAGAATTTATGGTTCCAGTTAATTTTCTCTTCTGCACAAACCTCAATAACACGATTTTTACTTTATTAATCCCTGTGCGGATCAAACTTGACAAAGTTTTTAGCGACAGAAGATGTATATTTCTTCTTTTTGAATGCAATATAAGGTCCATAGACCTAGGCCTATAATTTATCTTTATAATTAAAATATTATTCTATCTTCAACCCTCTCCTCACACACCTTCTCACCTTGCCCGGCCTTGTACCCAGAATCGGCCCAAACCCGAATAATAGTGAGTTGGTCTCGGGCCCACCATTTTTTGAACATGCGATCTTGGCAAGGAACCAATACCAGAACGTCCCAAGTCCACCCCTATTTGTATATAAGCTTTACATAAATAAGCATTTCATCAAATATGAATATATGATGTATGCACAAAAAGCAGCTAACTTTATCAAAGGGTAACAGGTGTTTCTAATCCCCAAATGTTACCGAAAGCAAACCTATTGCACTAAGAAACCCCAAATAAACTTCAGTAGAAAAAATAGGGAAAATTATAAATTGGACAAATATTTAACTATGGATCGGATACAGAAAACCATATTAAATAAATTATTTTCATTGTAATGTTACCATACTGTTTTTCTTGATTATCAACCAAACTATATGGAAATAACTGCCACATTTACAAATACCGCTTGAATGCCTTAACAAATTTTATAGGCAACTTCATTTTATGATAGTCGGAGGACTAAATGTGGGAATTTTCAAAGAAAAAGACCAAAAGTACGTGTATTTCTCACAAAGGCGAAGGACTAAAAGTGGAAAAAATCAAAATCGAGTACCGAAACTGTCAGTGACATAATAGTCGGAGGACTAAAACTGGAAAAAACTCTAATCGACTATCGACTAATTGCTAAATGCAATTAGGGCTGAGCATATTCCGGCCCGGACCGGAAAAATGGACCGAACCGGACCAGCCGGTCAAGACTAGACCTGGACCGAGTACATACCGGTCTGGTCTTCGGTCCAAGCTTTTTAAAGTTTCCGGTTCCGGTCTGGTCCAGTCTAAACCCGAAATATTTTGGTTCGAACCTGTTGGACCATAAATAAGAACTAGCCTCAATGTTTATTTTTCTGATAAAAATGTTATGGAGTATTTGGTCCAATACCGATCTGGAATTCTGGACCGTACCTATCAAGCTCGGTATAATTCGGTCTGCTACACTAGTCTAGTCCTGGACTGGAATTATATAGACCCAGTCTTGAAAAACATCTTACTCTTTCATAATGCTTTGTTTTTGTAACTTCATTTTATAAAAGAAAACTTTAATTAAGAACATGAGACATGAAACACATTGATTTTTTAATTGCAAATTTTAAAATTTTAAGTGACTTTACGTTTTGCGGGCCACTTTTGAAAGGTAAAGGCATATTATCAAGAATATTTTTTGCCAAATTTTATCAGCTTCTAATTCAAATTTCAATAAAGTTTACATAAATATCTACTCCTTATATTTTTTAATTCTAGGTTCAATAATTTGAAGTGACTGTATGCTTGACCTCATTTCTACCATCTTTATTTTAACTTAATGCTTATTGACCAACACACCACTTACGACAGCCACAAATTAGTCAATCACATAGTGTTTACACACACATAATTATGTATATTATCTCTAGAAGAAGGATGACACAAGAAAAAGCTATTGACCAACACACCACTTATGACATCCACAAATTAGTCAATCACATAGTGTTTATGTAGAAAACCAAGTTGTTAGGAAAGAATATCTCTCTTATTGACCATGTCGTTACACGCATACATACAGGCTATATAAATACACTTTACACATGCCTAACTATGGAAAAGAATATTCTAGCTAGTAACCGTAAGCAAGAAAAAGGAAAGAGATCAAAAAGGAAAACAAATGATATGCCTACGATACTAATTGCAAATATTACAAATAAGGAAAATATAATAAGCAATAATATGGACATAAATCAATCATCAGTCCGCACACCCCCCCTCAAGTGGGAGCAGAGGGGTTCATGATGCCCAACTTGCGCAGGAGAAAGGAAAATTGTTGAGCACCCAATGGTTTAGTGAGAATATCAGCTAACTGTTGCGTAGAAGGGATATGATAAGCAGCAATAGTACTGTTCTGAATAAGATCCCGAACAAAATGACAGTCTATTTCAATATGTTTTGTGCGTTCATGAAACACAGGATTGGAAGCAATATGAAGTGCAGCCTTATTATCACAAAAAACTGACATAGGACGATAGAGTGCAACCCCCAAAGAGCGAAGCAGGTTTCGAACCCATAACAATTCACAACCTAAAGTAGCGAGTGACCGATATTCAGCTTCAGCAGATGATCTAGATACCGTAGGTTGTTTCTTAGTTTTCCAGGATACCGGAGAATTACCCAAGAAAACAATATAACCGGTCAGCGAGCGTCGACTCAAAGGACACGCCGCCCAATCAGAATCACAAAACCCGCGGGGAGATAAATCAGAATCGGCTGGAAGAAAAATCCCTTGTCCTGGTTGACCCTTCAAGTACCGTAAAACACGAACGGCGGCATCCCAGTGATCCGTGCGAGGTTCTTGCATGAATTGTGCGAGAACATGAACATAATAGCATAGTTCTGGTCTGGTTAGAGTCAAGTAGATTAATTTGCCAACGAGCCGCCTATATTGATCAGGATTAGAAAGTGGTGCACTAGTAGATAGAGCTAGTTTCTGGTTTTGTTCCATGGGAAAAGGAGAGGGCCGCGAACCAGTCAATCCAAGTTCTTCTAGAATATCCAGTGTATATTTTCTCTGACACAAAAAAATACCAGCCAGACTGCGAGCCACCTCAATGCCCAAAAAATATTTAAGACGACCAAGATCTTTTATGGGAAAACATTTAGCAAGATAGGCTTTCAGTTGAGCAATTTGAACAGAATCTGACCCTGCAATTAAAAGATCGTCCACATATACAAGTACACACAAAAAATGTGAGTTGTGCACCATGGTGAAAAGAGAATAATCGGCATACGAGCGTTGGAAACCATAAGCTTGAAGTGATGTACTAAGTTTAGTAAACCAACATCTCGGTGCCTGTCGGAGTCCATAAAGGGAGCGCTGAAGGCGACACACTTTCCGAGAATGGGCAGGAGAAAATCCAGGTGGCGGATACATATACACTTCTTCATCAAGAGTACCATGAAGAAATGCATTATCCACATCCATTTGATGCAATTCCCAATTTTTAGAAGCGGCAACGGTAAGTAAGATACGAACCATAGTCATCTTAGCGACCGGAGCAAACGTCTCATGGTAATCAATCCCTTCAACTTGACGATTACCACAAACCACCAGACGAGCCTTGAACCGTTCAATTGATCCTGTACTATGATATTTGATTTTATAAACCCATTTAGAATGAATAGGCTTTTTATTAGGCGGTAAATCAACCAAGGTCCAAGTCCCATTTTTTTCAAGAGCATCTATCTCAAGCTGCATGGCCTTCCTCCAACGAGCATCACGGACCGCTTCTCGATATGTGGTGGGTTCTTTTTCCTGAGCAATCGCTGCAAGAAAAACTTTGTGGTGGTGTGAAAATTTATCATAATTTACGTAACAAGAAATGGGATAGAGACTACCTGAAGACACCGATGGAGAGCGTGAAGGAGGTGGGCCTACACAGGTGGCGTTAAGTTCTACATAATTTTTCAACCGGGATGAAGGAATTTTCTGCCGTCGTCCTCGTCCAAGAAGAGAATTATGCGTGACTGTTGTGGGATCAACGGATAAGGATGAATTGTCAGAATTAATATTACATGCAGGCTCCACAATTTCTGGAAGAGCATGGGTGGGTTCTGATACTGCCATCTCAGGCTCTTTTTGACCATGTATAGTGTCGGCAGATACATGCTCTTCATGCATAGAATATGGGTCAACCGTAGTAATTAATTGATGACCGCCGCCCACTCGCGTGTGTTCCTCATGTGCTAGAGAATTCTGAATTGCTTCGTCCTCTTTTGTGAATGCATGACGTGACGGATCCTCACGGGCCTTAACAAAAGATTCATAGTTCCCAACTGAATGATCAGAATTTTGTGGAGCAAAAGGGAATATATTTTCCACAAATGTTACGTCGCGAGAAACAAAATGTTTCTCAGATTCCAGGTCCATTATTTTCCAACCTCGTTGAGAAAATGAATAGCCCAAAAATATACATGCACGTCCTCGTTCCCCAAACTTGTCTCTGTCTTTCGATGTCGCATAACATAGGCAACCAAAAGTGCGAATATGATCATAGGAGGGAGGAACTCCATACAATAATTCATGTGGTGATTTTCCGTTATTCAACAGAGACGGGGTACGATTTATCAGATAGCAAGCTGTTAAAATACACTCTCCCCAGAAACGAATAGGCAAATGTGCCTGAAACCGAAGTGCCCTGGCCACATTTAAAATATGTCGATGTTTTCTTTCAACCCGTCCATTTTGTTGAGGGGTACCCACACAAGAGGTTTGAAATAAAACACCGTGCTTTGAAAAATAGGATTTTAATGGATAAAATTCCGTCCCATTATCGGCCCGAACAATTCTGATATTTTTATCAAATTGATTCCGAACCATAGCAAAGAATCGTTCAATAATACGGGCCACTTCACTTTTTTCAGTCATAAGATGCACCCACACAGCCCGCGAATAATCGTCCACAATAGTTAAAAAATAAAATGATCCACAACTACTTGGTTCTCTATAAGGTCCCCAAACGTCACAATGAATCAAATCAAAAATACTTAATGCTCGATTGAAACTAGTAGGAAAAATAGCACGTGTTTGCTTTGCTTTTATGCAAATATCACAAACTTTATTCAAACAATCACTACGAGATACGTTCTTGATAGAAACCGGAAGCAGACGAACCACTTTAGGAGATGGATGACCCAACCGTTTATGCCACAATTCATAGTCACTATCACCATTCACGCGGTAAGCTTGTTCACGTCCTGCCCCACACAAGTAGTAGACCCCACCTCTTCGTTCACCCGCTCCAATCAGCGTCTTCAAAGTGAGGTCCTGAATCACACAAAACTTGTTAGTAAATATGACATGACAAGAAATATCGTCTATAAGACGTCCCACCGAAATCAAACTACACGTGAGCTTAGGAACATAAAGAACGCCATTCAAAGTAATTCCCGGTCCCAAATTTGCACGTCCAACATGAGTTGCTAATGTCATCTCTCCATTAGGAAGTGAGACTGGAGCAGAACTAATAGAATGTAAGTCGAATAAACAATTTTTGTCTCCGGTCATATGAGTTGATGCACCTGTGTCAATTAGCCATGCATATTTATTAATCATACCTGACAATTTTTCAAGTGAATCACCTGACTCACTTTTACTTTTGTTCACAAAAGTAAGAAATGAGGCCCACTGCTCATTGGTCAAGAACGGAAGTTTTTCATGTTCTCCTTTGTTCTCCTTCGTGCCTGGCTCTTCACTCAGGACTGCATGTGCTGACCAGGAGTTGTGTCGAGTTTCTGCTTTTCCACGGCCAGCCCCTAAAGCTTTCCCGGTCTCTCCGCTTCCACGACCCGACCCCGGAGGTTTTCCTCTTCCACGGCCGTCCTTGTTCGCAAACCACCAGTCGGGATATTCACCCGTCAGTTTGAAGCATTGACTTTTTTCATGTCCCTCCTTTTTACAAAAGGAGCAGATCACTTTCTCTTTTCCGCGCGAAGAACCGGTAGAATTCCAACGAGCATCAGTCCTCACTGCAAATGCAGCAACTTCTTCCTTTGCTTCGTGCGTCCGTGTCACATGTTGTAGCCTCTCCTCTTGGATGACCATTCGATAGACTTTGCTCAGTTTTGGTAGTTCGGTCATACTCAATATGTTTGACCGCAATGTTTTATAAGTGTCACCATTGAGACCGAGAAGAAAGTCATGCACCTTCTCCTTTTCAACTGCCTCGAGGAATTGTTTTTCCAATTCACACGAGCAACGCCCACACTTGCAATGTGGTATGTTTCGATATCCTGAAAGATCATCCCACAAGGTTGTAAGGCGGCCGAAATATTCAGTCACCGAAGATCCACCTTGCTTACATGCTTGAAGTGCCTCCTTGAGTTCGTAAAACCGCATCGCGTCGGGTACCTCGAACCTTGATTTCAGGTCTTCCCACATCTCATGCACATAATCCACATAAGCAATCGTCCCACGAACCGAAGTATCCATGGACGTCATCAACCACCCGACCAACATTGAGTTCACCGTCAGCCAGTCCTCCTTATCTTCGGCACCTTCGGGCATCGGGATTGATCCGTCAAGAAAACCCAGTTTTCTTTTAGCCCGGAATGCATTTTTCATTGCCGTCGCCCATTCCCGGTAGGTCCCTTCCCCTTTTAACACGAGTCCGCATATGTTTACTCCCGGTATATCAGAGCTCGAAAGGTAATACGGAGAGGAAGGGTCGTTGATTTTCCGTCGGTATTCTTTCAACCCAGAATGGTTTGCCGTCGTCATTTGGTCACTCACATTTTCTGGAGTCGTCATGTCTTCGTCTCTGGTTGGTAGTGCGCAGAATTATTGTCTCAAGCCAGAAGTCTCTGATACCATGTAGAAAACCAAGTTGTTAGGAAAGAATATCTCTCTTATTGACCATGTCGTTACACGCATACATACAGGCTATATAAATACACTTTACACATGCCTAACTATGGAAAAGAATATTCTAGCTAGTAACCGTAAGCAAGAAAAAGGAAAGAGATCAAAAAGGAAAACAAATGATATGCCTACGATACTAATTGCAAATATTACAAATAAGGAAAATATAATAAGCAATAATATGGACATAAATCAATCATCAGTCCGCACAGTTTACACACACACATAAATGATCATAAAGAAGTGTTCTTTTGAGTATTAACACAATTAAGTTGAGCAATAGAGTAGAAAACAATTCTCTAAGAATAAAAGACAAGAGATCTTCTAAAAAGAACTTAATAGGCAGACCCATTGTCATGCTCTGTAACATTGACATATGGGGGGCGCATTGGAACTGATTTTAGCACTGCACTAGGCTGACTTGATCTCTATACAATGTTCCACATACTACACCGATTTTTTTCATACTTTTTGAGCAGCAAGTTATGGAGAAACTTCACCATGCTGGAGCTGGTTTACATGTAACTCCTCCTTTGCCTCGATTCTTTAATTCATTTCCAGCCACCAAAAAATATGCAGTGTGCCTGAAAAAATTCATCATTTTGGACTTGTAGTCATTGTTAATATTTGCAGTACTGTTTAATGCTTGTTGCATATGGTGCAACAATCTCTCTACTGCTTTGTGAGTCGCTGGAAATGGACGATGTCGGCCAATCAAGGCAGGGTGACCTCTTTCTCGGAAAACAAAGGTGGTCCTCCCATCCTCTGTACAAAAAACTCATACTGGTTCCTAATGGCATCTTCTTTGGTCGAGTTTGCAAATATCACATGAAACCACTCCTCGTCATAAAAAAAACCTTGGTGTAGAAACTGGTTGAGAGATTGACATAAGTATCGAGGCCGAGCTTCTGGAAGAGATTGGTATCGTCAATGGAGAAGGCTTCGGTGGTGCTCACCCTAATCCACTCTGATGCCTTCTCTTGCAATGTCTGCATTCTTCTCCCCTCCCTCTCCCAGACACTTGACAACCTTTATTCTATTCGGCACAGGCTAAAAGACAAGAGATCATAATACATAGTTAATTCATAATCTTATTACAATTTTGGATGATCGGTTTTTGGTGTACTTGAAGGTCGTGACTTTTTCCTTCCTCTAACTTCATTTGTTTTTATCTCAATAATTATTTTACGCCGCACATTTCTTTCACTCTTTTTCCTTGAAGATTTTGGATTAGATATGCTAAACTCACACCAACTAAGGTTGAATCACTGTCTCAGAAATAAATACTTCCAACTTGATCTCGAACTTCCAACTGTCTGATAAATACATGCTCAGAAGTAGAATATTGCTAAAAAAAAATCGTCTCTACCCTCAATATCCTCAATTAATTTGTCACTGCAAGAAATACCATCTAGAAAGGGGGAGTGTTGAAGATGGAGTCTTGTTTGTGCAGAAACATGAGATACCCGACCGGGTACAGTTAGTCATCCGATCGGGTATGAAGATTTTTGGCCGGGCAACTTTCTGGTTTGAAGACCCGATCGGGTCTATGCTCTTGACCCGATCGGGTATGTTGAAGATTTCAACTGGGAACTCACTGGAATGCAGGACCCGACCGGGTCAGGGAGGTCACCCGACCGGGTCATGAAGGTCTTTTGGCTTCTGTTTTCGACACCCGCCCTGGTGACGATCCGGGTATACTTTTTGTGAAGAGACCCGACCGGGTCGGCGGAAAATTTTAATTTCGGGCTTAGCTTCCGGGCCTGCGGCTCTTAATTGTGATTAGGTTTCCTTAAACCTATTTAAACATCTCTAATGTACGTGTAAACTCTGACGCAGACATAATAATACTCAGCTCTCTCTCGTTCGCCGTGGACTAGCACAATCACCCCGATTGTGTGAACCACGTAAATTCTTGTGTTCTTGCTCGTTAATTTATCGTTTATCTTTGCCTAATCGTAACAATTGGTATCAAAGCTATGGCTGAAGAAGGGAAGGTTAAGATCGATAAATTTGATGGTCAAGATTTCGCTTTCTGGAAGATGCAGATCGATGATTATCTCTACCAGAAGAAGCTTCATAGACCGTTGTCTGAGAACAAACCAGAAACGATGACGGAGGCGGAATGGAATTTGTTGGATCGACAGGCTCTTGGTGTGGTGAGGTTGTCGTTGGCGAAGAACGTTGCCTACAACATCGTCAACGAGAAGACAACGTTTGGACTGCTCAAGGCGTTATCCAACATGTATGAGAAACCCTCAGCAGCAAACAAGGTTTTCTTGATTAGACAGTTGGTGAATACAAGAATGAAGGAAGGTGCATCCGTGGCAGATCACATCAACGAATTTAATTCAATCATATCCAGGTTAGGCTCGGTTGAGATTAAATTCGATGATGAAGTCCAAGCATTACTTTTGTTATCATCTTTGCCCGATAGTTGGTCCGGTACAGTCACAGCAGTTAGTAGTTCATCTGGAACCACTAAGCTTACCTTTAAAGGTATTCGTGACTTAATCCTTGGTGAGGATATCCGGAGGAGGAGTTCGGGGGATAGCTCCAACAGTTTGTTGAGTACTGAAGATAGGGGCAGAAAATCCACTAGA